CGTGGACGTCACAAGACATTATACAGACAGGCTCTGGTATCATGGCTACCTGACAACAGAGCTCAAAGTGTGGGATCATTTTAAGAAGATGAAAGAGAAACCTGTGCAATGCAATATCCACAGCAATTATTTTTAGTTAGCATATAGCTAAAATCTAACGATGGTTATATAATAGCAGCTGCGTTCTGGCACGATAAGCTGTATGTTTTATATTCAATTAACGTATGATCTGATTAGTCGACTAATCGAAAAAAATAATCGGTGATTAYTCGACCATAAAAATAATCYTTTGTGGCAGCCCTAGTATCTATTGCATCATTTGGATTTAGTTAAAGTAATTAAGGGGTTTAAATGAAATGTGGAGTGTGTGGTATCTTTCGGAGCAAGGCTTTCTCAGTTTTGCTTTTTTGACGGCCTGTATGTGTTTGTAGCTTACAGCTAATTTTTGTGAAAGCATTAAGCCATGCATATTTATTGGCAGACACTTTCAGGATGGTAAGCTTGCAGCGGATTCAGCATGCTTGATCAAAATAAAGAAATACTGTCTTTGCATATCAAACCTACCTACCAAACCAACACTTGTGACAATGAATGATATTGGATGACAAAAGATAAATAAATAAACTATAGACACATTTTTCCTTTGGTTTGAAGCATTGATTCTTAACCTGGTTTTGCTAACAGAAACAGTGACCTATACTGTTTGAAAAGAGGAGTTTAGGCCAAGTTTAGTTCAAAATGTTGATGGTCTGTGTTAGAAACAAGTCAAAAAAAGGTTTAAACTTTGTTTTCATTTGCCTCAAGATTCATTAACAAAAACCTAATTAAATCAATTTAACTTTAATTTAATTCTTATAAATAAAACAAATTATTATAAATTTAGATACTTTTATTTAAGGGCCTGAAGGAAATGATCCTAGGGCCATTTCTGGCCACATTTTCCCCACATGAGCGTCTAGAAAAATGTTCCTCTGTCTGCATTTCCACCACAAGAAAAAGGGACAAAAATCAATTCTGAATGAAATGTTACGCAAGTTTTGTTAATTATTTTTTGAAACCCAGAGCTATAAATAAATAAATGTGTAATAAATGCTTAGGATATTCTTCATAACAGGTGGACAAAGACCAGAAATTTAAAATTCGATTCTACCTTAAAGTCTCAGTAAGGCTGCATCAGTTTACACTGGTGTATAATAACAGCAGTAAATAAAAACTTGATGAAATAAATGAAGTCATTYAAACAGTGCAAGAGAAACTCACCCCCGCCCCTAGACATTAGAGCTAAACATCGTGGGAACCTTTTGAACAAGTGGTCCTTCTAAGAAGCATATTTCATTTTAATTTTCATTCGTTGTTGCTAATGTAATAAAAACACCTGTTAGAGCTGGTTTTATTGAAGAAAAAGAAGGCACAGGGCCCCAACTGCCTCTAGATTCCTGAGATAATTTATGAGGACAAGCACTGCTCAACAAGTGCAGACATATAACATCACACAAGTTTAAAGCTCCCTGTGTGTGACAGTGTGTGAGGGTGGCGGATGGCTGAGCAAGTTGGGGCAGAGTTTGCTTCTTTGTAGTTTCACTGGCTTCAAAGTTTTTGTCACAGTCAGGCTTGTCTGGAGTTAAGTGGAGGGGACAGTTTTACAAAAGCTTCTTGTAAAGATCACGTCACGTTCTGGGTCTGCTAATGTGGTGGGCGCTGCTAGAATGAGACAGAGAGCTCAGCTGTGATCAGCATGAAGCACGAGGCAGCTGCAGAGATACAGAAGGCAAACACATGAACAGCGAGACCAGATAAGCGCCGTCTCCTTGTCTTGCATTGTTTTGGTCCTCAGCTTTATCTCTGACACACACCAGACACACACACATGGGAAAAGAGCATGCATGTACGCTGATAAAACTCTGCGGTCAGACAACTTTATCAGGTAACTTTTCCTTCCTGAAACAAACTGCCACTGTCTACAGGGCTTTGTTTGGATTTGCATGTTTTAAACACATGGGCGTGGAGGACTAGTTAATGAGTTTACATGAAATACTTGGAGCTGTGGAACAAAATGGAACCAAACTTTTGTGTTAAAAGCTGCTGCAGTCATTCATCTTTGTTTCTAAATAGCCAAGCCTTTAAAGCCTTTATGTGAAACARCTGTTAGATTTATGAGAAGTTAAATTCACTGCTCATCTACTGAAAGACATGAGTTCTTACAGAACAGGTTCCCGAGGATCTCCTCTGGAAATGCTGTCGACTTCTGGCAGAGAAGCGACGCAGGGACCTCCTGCTCCGCCTGGCGAAGCTACGGAGGGGAGACATGGCCCTCTGAAATGTCCCTCCTTCATTTGCACCTTCGTCCTGGTCCTTGTCTTCCTCCTCCTGCTTCTCGTCCGAAGGGCCCCACACTAGCTCCACAGCCCCTTGAAAGGACCGTCGCAAGTTGCCCACCCAGCCGGTGACCTGCAGCTGGGCGGCMGACAGTTTCCCTCCCAAGTACTGCATGTGGCTGAGAAGCTCAGAAAACCTGTCCTCCTGATGCTTGGGTCACCATGGGAAACTGAGCTTTGGCTTTGTCAGAGATGAAGAGGGTTTGTGGGTAAGTCAGAGAACCCGGTGTTTGATCGGACTTTCATTTCAAGTTTAAGCAGAATCCGTCTTTTCTTGATAAATTTTTACGTTTTAGGTTAAACAGACAGCGAGGACCAGTCTCAACCTTGGTGCCAGAACAGGTTTAGTCTAAGCACTTGTGTTTGTGCAGCC